CAGTCTGGTGCCCTGTGGTTGGTGCTTAACAGAATGTGAGGTGCCTGTGTTGAAGCCTCACTAATGGCCATGGCTTGTGTGTGTTACAGGGATCCATCGCTACATGGCACAAAGGGGAGCCCCTGGGTGGGTGAGTCAATGCAGGATTGTGCCTCAAGGGATCCGGCCACTGTTTCCCTGGCTGATCTCCGAGTGTCTGAGAAGGGAGCTGCTGGGTCAGTGAGTGGGGAAGGACATTCCCAGCTATTGCCTGACCAGATACCAGCTGGAGTCCCAGCCCCCTGTGGGAGCACAGAGAGGGTGTGGGGGTTTCCCAGCACCATCGGGAGTCAGGAAGCAGAACAGCCCTGTCTTGGGCATTGGATCAGGGATACAGTGAGATCCTACCCTGGGGTGCATTACTACACCCTGCAAAAGGCTGGGGGTAACATCAATGGGGCGGAGATTGGGACCTGAGACCTCCACCGGGGCCACTATAGGGCGATACCATCCCAGCCCCAGGATTTGGAGTCTGGTTCTGTGCAATCTGCCAAAGGCTCGTGCCCTGTTGCTTTTAGGTCTTTGGAGAGTCTCTGAGGAGCAGAGAAGATCCTTCCTGCAGGTGGTGCTGCTGGCAATCTACAGCCCCCTGCTGTCCGTCAGCCAGGCTGGGCTGGTCCCAGCCTTCTCCATCCTGGGGGAAGCTGCCTAGCTGATGGGGACAAGGTGAGAGGCCGGATTAGGCTCAGGAGATTGGGGGTGGAACCCAGGGCCTCTCACCTCTAGGCCCCGGAAAGTCATTCCCGTACCATCGCCATTCGATGTCCAGGAAGCCGCAAGGCGAATGAGTCAGAGCAGGTGCCGTGGCTAGAAGTGAATTCAACTCCATGAGCAGGATGGACTAAGGGCCTGAATTGCAGAGATGCCACAGCCACCAAAACTCCAGTTCCAGTCAGTGCTGTCTGCGCTCCCTCAACACCTCTGTAAACCTGGCCTTCAGTGAGGAGCCAAAACCTCAACCTGCTAAGAGAAGGAAGGGGAACAGCCATAGTCAGGTATATCACCATCTGACTGCTCAGTGCCTCTGGCCAGCTCCCTTGGCTTGACAGAGCTGCAGAGATCAGGGTGCAGTGAGAAGAGATGAGAACAAGCTGGGGACATAGTAGAATGGCAGGGAGGGCCCCTTCCTCCCAGAGGACAGTCCATGGCCCCTCCATGGGGGAGCCCTTCCTTCCCTCCATACTGTGAGCTTTGGTGCGTGGACACTGCCCAGCCATCAATCTCAATGAGGTCTGTGATTCATCCACTCCTTAGAACCTCTCCCTTTCTTACGGATAAGGAAGCAACAGGAAACTGTTTTGGGGGTCTGTAACTCAGAAAACCCTTGGCCCAATGACCCCAGATTTGGATCACTATCACTATCCCATGCCCCCTGGAGGCACACCAAACTTCAAAGCAATCTGAGTGACCAGATTTTAGAGCATTTACAAGGTTTAAACTTCAAAGCATATAAAATGGCTGGAATGGGAAGTCTCCGGCTGTTTCTCTGTACTGGTGCATGCAGACTGTAAAAAGTGAACATTGTGTTAAATACAGTTTGGGTCCCCCAAAGATAGAGTGAATAAACTTGACAAACTGAGACATTTTTGACTCTCATCACATCAATAGTTTGAGCTCTAGCACTGCACAAAAAAAACCCACCTAGAAAAACCCTTTTTATCTCCATAACCCTTAGCTCAAATGACTCCTAATTCAGTTTACTAGTCCTATCCTGCACCCTCCGGAAGCACGCCAATTTTCAAAGGAATCTGACTAAGCATGTCAACGTTAGAGGCCTTAGAAAGCCGACTTTTAAATGGTAGTCACAACGCAACTTTAACTATATTATAATATTTCTTAGTTCATTTACTGGCTGAGTACCCATCTCTCAGATTTCTGTCTATTAACCATGACCTCAGAATATTCCATGAGCATTAAAATGGGATTGTGCTGTTAAACAATAAGAACACTGATAGAGGAATAAGCATCAAACTAGGCACCACAGTATAGACATTCAACTCACGTAAACTGGCACAGCTCCATAGCACTATGCCAATTTACACCAGCTGGGGATCTGGCCCTTCATATTTGTTCAGTCTCTCTGACATACCCACAACCAGTGTGAATTAAACATTATCAAAATGCCATGCAGCATTTCACCTACAGCATAATGAGCCTTCTATTATAGTCTTGCCTGCAGTAAGAAAAAAATGTAATTGCTAAGAAAGAAAGAAAGAAAGAAAGAAAGAAAGAAAGAAGGTTGGGCCATTCATCCCAATAGAAGTGAAAGCTCAGACATAGAAAATCTTAGCACCAGTGAATTCCTCCGAAGTTCTGTCCGTAGTGGGAATGAATCGCTCCTTACCATTAAAAGTTACACACTTGCAATTAATCCCATGGAACAAAGAACTAAGGAAGTGCAAACGGGTTCAGAATTGTTCTCTCATCTTTGGTTTAAACTCACAGGCAAAGAATATGGATTCGAAACTATGTAACAGGCTAGATCCCCAGCTGGTGTAAATCAGCCATTGCTCCATTGAAATCAAAGAGCCAGATCCCCAGTTGGCAAAAATAGCCCTAGCTACACGAGTGTGGACGTGGTTCTTAGTTTTTAGTGTTTGCTTTTGGTACCTCTTAATGGCCTAATTCAATCAGCCCAGCCAGCCAGAGCTGTGGGTTCCCCTAGTGGCTGTACTCAAGAACTGCTGATGCAATGCAGGAGAAGGGGGGGGGGGGAAATCTCTGCTTACTCAGAGGTAACTATGTGGAGTTAATGAAGAAACAGGCTATTTCAGGCCTGCTGAGCTTCTGGTGCCACTAGTCTCTTAGCGATTGTAGGTCACATGTCTGTGCTATAAATATATATTTGATTCTGCAACCCCTTTGGGACACCCTTTGAGTCTCAGCCCTCCCTTATTTTTAGCCCAGGGTCCTTCCAGGGATGCTGCCATTGTGTGAGATCCAGGGAGGGTGCTGTTCCCTGAGGTTAGGTTCAGCTAGTGCAGGTTGTCAGGGTGGTTTGCTTCAGAGGTGAGATCAGAGCTGCGTTCAGAACCCTGGAGACCGGATTCAGCTATTTAGCCCCAGAACAGGGACATCCTAGGTTGTGACCATGTCTGGTGCCTACACAAACCAGGATCAGCTCTAGAGCTGGGAGGGGCTTTCAGTCTCCGATCCCATTTAGTCCATCACCTCTCAGACAACCCTGCCCAAAGAGGGCAGCAGAGAGCACATATCCGTGGAGTGGATCCCTATTTGCTAGGAACTGCAGAGGGACCCAGCAAGTCAGGAAACAGTTTCTGGATAATATAGTGATGGGGGCATGATAGACAGATAGGATTATTTGGACATTATCTCTCTAGCAGAGGAAGATCAAATGCATCACAAGTTGGGAAAAATTCTACAAAGACCAGCACAGTAAGTTTCCTATTTCAATTAAATACGTTAGAGTATTGATATACAGGGCACATGTGAGAACATAAATATGCATGACAATTGGAACTCATGAAGAGTTTTACTATCAATTTAATCAAATACCTGCACCAGTCAGACTTTTTTTTGTTTATATTTCAGCAGCAAAAATGGATTGTTCATAGAAGTTGTGAAAATCCAATCATGTTTCATTGTGGCAACTGAGAAGAATACAATTTTAACTAAAAGCTGTTGAAAACTGGGAAAAGAAATAGCCTCTGCTGTCCTTGGAAAAACAAAATATATATCGAGGATAGCAGAGACTTTCCATGAAAAAGTGTTCAATTGAAAACCCAATTTGCCTTTAAAATAATTAAAGCAGAAAATGTCTGTCTACCTAGAATTGGAAACTTAGCTTTGTACCAGGGTAGGGAACATTAATTTTTTCCACTAAGACCACAATTTCAAACCCATTCGCTCTATTACAACTGTTTCAAAGGGATAGCTCCAGGATGGTTAAACTGAGTAAAGCAAAGTTGATAGCCCACAGAATATATTTTAAGCACCATGATGCTAAAAGACAGAGTTGACGCCCCCAGACAAAACCTTTCTATCTTGACCCTGCTCAAGGACAGACAGAAGGTCAATAGGATTAGAACCCAGATCGCCTGCTCTAGCACCATTTCCTCTGTTCTATATTACTGCCACTTAAATGGCAGTGCTGTTGAGAGGTGCACAGAACATACACATAGTACGACACAGTCCACCACCCTAAAAGCTTCCAGTCCTAATGGACAAGGCAGAGAAAGGGAGGGAGGGGAAACAGAGGCACAGGGAGGGGAAGTGACTGGCCCAAGGTCACCCGGCAGGTCAGTGGCAGAAACAAGAACATAATCTAAGTCTTGTGACTGCCACTGACCTGCACAGGACAGACATAAAGTCACAGAGGGAAACAGTACAACCTAGGAGAAACTGAGCGACGCTCCTATCCCATCATCACACAGAGATGGAAGTGCAGCTAGAATTGCTGCCATGAATCAATCTCTAAATAGGTAGAAGGCCATCTATGTGGAGGAATCATCACAGATGAGCTGCCACGTAGGAAGCTGGGTGAGTCAATGTCGTATTTCTCTGGAAAGTGGGAATCAGGTTGTGTTGTCATTTTAGTATGTTAGTTTCATGCCCAAGTTGTGGGGTTGCTGTTTGTCACAATAGGGAACCATCTTGGCTAGAATTGTTGGATTTGGATTGTACTTTTTTCCATCCTTTATACTGCATTTTATCTAGGGCCAGATCCTCAGATGGTGTAAACTGACCCTGCTCCATTGACTTTTAGTGAAATAATCCAGTTTTCACTAATGTGTTAATGCACCTGATTAGTGCTCTGGCTGATGGGTGAGGAGCACTCGTGACTCCTCATCAATGGAAGTGACGAGTGCTGTGAACCCTTGACATTCACATTTTGAGATATTACAGAGAGAGAATCAGGATCAATTCCTCTGTCACTCTAATCCTTACCATTGCCCTTCTCCTTCCCTCCACAGCCATCACATGATATACTGAGGAAGAAAATGTCCAACCGAACCACCGTGACTGAGTTCCTTCTCCTGGAATTCTCTGACATCCGGGAGCTGCAGATTTTAAACTTCATGGTGTTTCTAGTGATTTACCTGGCAGCCCTGGTGGGGAATCTTCTCATCATCACAGTTGTTCTCCTCGACCACCATCTTCACACCCCCATGTTCTTCTTCCTGATGAATTTGTCCATCCTAGACATCGGCTCCATCTCTGTCACTGTCCCCAAATCCATGGCCAATTCCCTCATGAACATCAGGTCAATTTCTTATTCTGGATGTGTTGCCCAAGTTTTTCTCTTTGTCTTTTTTGTTTCAGCGGATCTTGCTTTATTGACTGTCATGGCGTATGACCGATACATCGCCATCTACCAACCCCTGCACTATGAGAGAGTGATGAACAGAAGAGCTTGTATCCAAATGGCAGCTGGTGTCTGGATCAGTGTTTTTCTCTACTCTGCACTCCACACTGGGATCACGTTTGCAATAACCTTCTGTGGAGGCAATATGGTGAATCAGTTCTTCTGTGAAATCCCCCGGCTCCTCAAGCTCGCCTGCTCGGACACATACCTCAGTGAAACTGGGGCTGTTGCCTTTAGTGTGTGCTTAGCCTCAAGCTGCTTTGTTTTAATAATTGTGTCATATGTTCACATCTTTACCATGGTGCTGAGAATCCCCTCTGAGCAGGGCCGGCATAAAGCCTTCTCCACCTGCCTCCCTCACCTCACCGTGGTGTCCTTGTTCTTTTGCACTGCTAACTTTGCCTACAGTCATCCCACCTCCAGCTCAACTTCAGGTCTGGATCTCGTGATGGCTGTTCTCTATTCCGTGCTGCCAGCAGTGATGAATCCGATCATCTACAGCATAAGGAACAAGGAGATCAAAGCTGCATTGAGGAAACTGATTGCGTGGAGGTTATTCACCAAAAATAAACTGTCCATGTTTTCACTTTGATTGTGATTTCGTCCTGTTTCTTTATAAATGTAACCCTCTGATGACATTATTGTCTCTATGAGAACATACTTTGCCATTTGCTTATGCAGAAAGGTGTATTTAGACAGGTAAAAATGCAGACAAACACCACTTAAGTCAGTGGAGTTACTGTAGATTTACCCCAGTGTAAATAAGATGAGACTCTACCTATCTATCTATCATGTTTTTTCTACTGCCACCCATCACCACACTATCCGAGCACCTTCCACCTCAAATGAATAGCCATAATCAAGTCCCCAGTGGACCTCATGAAGTCTCTGTGTCTTTGGGGGGGGGGAAGGGCATAAACTTTTCTTGGAGTGCCATAGCTTTTGACTAATTGTTTGCTTGTGTAACAGAGTGGGGTATGATGGTGTCAAACTGTGAACTCTGTTGTAGTATGTGTAGAAATATTGGCACGGTGACAGCACAAGTCTGGCCTGGCTCGATGGCAGCCTGTTGTGCTGCTTTCCAGACAGCTGTCCTGCCTGGGAAAGGTGTTTGATACCTCCTTGGAGGACCTCATTGAGAGCCATCAAGTCTAGAGTCTGGGGCCATCGAGTTTTCTTGTCCTTCGACTACTTGCCCACCCTCTGGGAAAAACAATTTTTCTATACAGGGGGCCCACAGGCATGAATGTCGGAGATGGAACTTCACAGTTTGAACCCCTGGCACAGAGACGGGGACCTACTGAACAGTGCTGTTCTGTTCTGTGCAGAGAGGGGCTGACCATGCCCACACATAGGAAAGACTAAACCTGTGTTTCTCGCCTTCCTGTCACATTCTTCTTAAAGGGGTTCAACCAGGATCCCAGCGTGATCATAGTCTAGGTGAAGCTCTGGCAGAGTGTGTGTAAGTGACCTGGGGGCTTGGGGAAACTCAGACACTGGTTTTGAGCTCTAAGGCAGCTGGACAGTGGCCTCCCACTGCCAAAGGAAGGGCATTAGATCAGAGGTCTGAGCTGGGGAATGGTTCCTAGAGCCCCAGAGCTAGAAACAATGACGAGACTCTACCCATATGCAGTTACCTTGGAAGTACATGGCACCCAGTGATTGGGTCCACTTTCATGAGATGCGTGACTGTACAACTGGGTACCGGGCCAGATTGTAACGGCTAGCTCGTCTGGCTATTGTTTTGTTTTATCAGTTGGTCAATTTGGTTTTAGGATTTTGGTTTGTTTTCTTTGGGGGGGGATGATTGGGGGTTTCAGTAATTTGTCATGTATTCAGGAGGGCAATGTGTAATCTCTTTGTCTGGGTTTTCTGAGAGAGCTGAAGGTTTGCTTCCCACAAAGATGAAGGGATGGAAAAGAGTTTCTGTAGCTATCTGGATGATTGAGTTCCTGTTGAAATGACTAATTTTAACATGCCTAGAGCCTGAGATAGGCTTCTTTTTTTATTAATGTAAATGTAAATAAATAAATAACATCTGTGTCATTCTTGCTATGGTGGGAAGGCCCTTTTGAAGAGAAACTTATTCCAGTGTTTCCTACAGAAGAACTGACTCTGGATAATGAGGCCATATTTGGATCCCATTGAAGTCACTGGGCTAAAGCCACTCACTTCAAAGGGGTCAGGACTTGGCCAGCAGCCAATATACACAGGGATCCAAATGTTGCTAAAGGCAGCCTGGAGAAAGCGAATGAGACAGAGATGTAAGGGTGAGATTCCCATCTCAGCTACACCTGTGCCAATGAAGAGTAGCTCCATTGACATCAAGGGTTAAATACTGATGAGGTTCTGGCTCAATGTCTCTGGGCTCAATTCAGTGGTAACATAAACACTGGTGTAAGTTACTTGTCTGGGGTCATTTTGTTCTAACCTTGATGTAAATGGAAAAGTGCCGTCGCTTGCACTGATCTGGCATTCCATCAGTATCCCATGTCGATTTGCTCACAAGCTGAGAAAGGAGCTCAGAATTTGGTTGATTTATTATTCCTTCTCTGTAGATTGTTGTGTAGACTACGTTTTATATGATAGATAAAAGAAGAGTATGTGATTAGACAGACAGAGTGATGGGACCGTTCCTTGTCCTAATACACAAGCTAATTATGTCATAATGATAGATTTCTGTTTATGAATTAGTTTATGCTAATTATTGTGCCTCTTTTCCTGCCATGACTGTCTATGTCCAGATCATGATTTGCTTGTAAGTATTCTTTATTAAACATTATTCACCAAAGCATGTCTATGAATATTTCTCTCACTCCACAGCTCATTAACAAGCACCTCATCAGATGTACTCGGTGTGTGAACTTAGAGCTCTTTCATGTGGATACATTTTCAACACGCTGTTTCTTTTCTTTGACTGGATAAATTGAAGAATGAGAAAGCTTAAAAATGAAGAGGCCAATTCTCAGCTGGTGTAAATTGTTATAGTGCCATTGAAGCCAATAATGCTATGAGAATTTATATCATTGGAGGATCCATGCTGAACACTAATGATTATGAATTCAACCCTCCCACCCCCCCCCCACCCCCTTGAATATCCTGTACAAAGGCCCTGGTTCAGGAAACCACTTCGGCATGTGCTTAACTTTAACCAGGTGAGTAGTCCCTTGAAAGCTTAAAGTTAAACTCATGCCTAAGCACTTTGCTAGATTAGGATCCGGGTTAGAGCCAAAGGCTGCATGTAACAGGGTCTTACCCAAACTGCTTTCACACCCGGTCACTGCCTCAATTCCTCTCCTTCCCCAGTCAAACATCCCACTGCAATTGGTGCGTTGGAACATAACATAAGAACATAAGAATGGCTGTACCGGGTCAGACCAAAGGTTCATCTAGCCCAGTATCCTGTCTACGGACAGTGGCCAATGCCAGGTGCCCCAGAGGGAGTGAACCTAACAGGCAATGATCAAGTGATCTCTCTCCTGCCATCCATCTCCACCCTCTGACAAACAGAGGCTAGGGACACCATTCCTTACCCATCCTGGCTAACAGCCATTAATGGACTTAACCACCATGAATTTATCCAGTTCTCTTTTAAACACTGTTATAGTCCTAGCCTTCACAACCTCCTCAGGGTAAGGAGTTCCACAAGTTGACTGTGCGCTGCGTGAAGAAGAACTTCCTTGAATTTGTTTTAAACCTGCTGCCTATTAATTTCATTTGGTGACCCCTAGTTCTTGTATTATGGGAATAAGTAAATAACTTTTCCTTATCCACTTTCTCCACATCACTCATGATTTTATATACCTCTATCATATCCCCCCTTAGTCTCCTCTTTTCCAGGTTGAAGAGTCCTAGCCTCTTAAATCTCTCCTCATATGGGACCCATTCCAAACCCCTAATCATTTTAGTTGCCCTTTTCTGAACCTTTTCTAGTGCCAGTATAAATGGAATTATTCTCTCCTCTGCGGTTTGGTTTATTAACACTGAATAACAGTTAAAAGCTGGAATCTTGGGGCTGCCTTCTCCAGGCTCACCAGGCCATTATGACCCTCCTGGGCTCCTAAGTCCCTCTGATGGGTTCTGTTCCTGTCCAGGGGTGCAGGTCCCTCCAGCCGGGCTTCCCCTCCGGCTGCCTTGGAGATCTTCTTCCCAAGTCCTCCCTGACCCTTGGTCCCCTTTGTATCCCCTGCAGGAGTCTCCTGATCCCTGAAATTCTTCTAACCTTTACTCTTGAATAAGGGCATCAGGCCCAGCCCTCTCTGCTCCTCAGATGTCTGAGCAGTGGAGCTCTGCCAGACCCATCCCAGACACATGGCCCCTCCAGACAGACCTCCCCTAGGTCTGTTCTACCAACTGGTGCCCCTCACTCTGATGGATCAGGCTCCCTCCCATGCCTGGTCACTGACTTAACCCAGCCCCAATCCAAACCCTCACCTGGGATCAGATGACAAGGCACAGATGTGGATGAGCCCATCTCCCCTTAAAGGGCCAGCCCACCCTGAGGCACTGAGATTTTCAACTGGGCTTAAGGTATTTAGGCACCTGACTTCTATTCACTTTCACTGGGAGATCAGCACCTAACTCCTTTTTGTGCCTTTGAAAATCCCATCTCCATTGCTTAAATGTCCATGAACATTCCTGTCTGCATTGGTGGAATATTCACACGGGCCATGCACTCAGCTGAATCAAATTCCCTGAAAAAGTAACATTACTATTCACACAGGGACTACTTTGCTGTATTCACTCAGCTGTTCCAATGACGCAGGCTGGAGCTCACTCCAGCTTCCGACAGAGATAAATAACAGGGTAGCTCACCCAAGACCCCGCCCCCCCGAGCACCACGCCGCCCGAAGCCCCCGCCCCCCTCCGAGCGCCGCCCGAAGCCCCGCCCCCCCTCCGAGTGCCGCGCCGCCGAATCAAAAATAAAAAAATAAAAAAATAAAAAATCGAGCACTGCCCTGCCCCAAGGTGCCGCCCCAAGCACGTGCTTGGCCGGCTGGTGCCTGGAGCTGGCCCTGTTGAGATCCACAGCCAGGAGCCCCTCTCCTGGAGTCAGCTGGCCTAGGCACCTTAAGCAATTTCCTGCCAGAAGGAATCAGGCCAGGGGAAGCCTCCCTTTACACCTTTAGCCAGTGGTTAGGGCACTCCCTGGGATGTGGGAGAGCCCAGTTCAATTCCCCTCTGCCTGATGAGGAGACCGGATTTGAACAGGGCTCTGCCACCCCTTAGCTGGGTGGCTTAACCAGGGGACGAGGGGAAACTCTGACACACTGGTCTCTGCAACTGGTCTGTGTGCAGCTGACTTTGCATTTCACTGCCAGGGAGAAGAAGATGTGACAACGTCCGTACTCTGAGGGCTTCCAGGACTCACTTCCTGGAGCCCTGCCCAGCTCAGACCCAGGCTTCTCTGCCCTGTGCATTTCTGCAGTGTCGGCAAACTGAAGGGAGAGCAAAGATGCAGAAGCAGCAAGGCCGAGTGGGCTGAACTCAGTGGTTGGAGGCAGGATCCCTAGGTGCTAACCCCATTCGTGTGGAGAAGACACACATTTTTCCTACACATTGAGCAAGTGTCCCCGTCGTTTTCTGTAGATC